AAACTGGTTAGTAGTAGGGAAGATAATAGCTAAGTTCTTGCCTCTAGACTGAACAGCAACTCTTTACAGCTATTACATTTCTCTAAAGACACCTGCTTACATTTACAAAGTGGTATGTGTATACCACTTACTAACACTACGACATGCTTAAAGTGCAAAATAAACCACTGTAACATGATAGCATTGAAGTGATAAGTCAAAAGAGACCGTAGATCATCAAATATTTACATATATAAATAAGATTAAAAATGTCTAGAGAGAGGCTTCAGTGATGTATTTGACCTTAAGTTCTTAACCTAAATACATTTAAAAGAAGATGCATGATAATATATTCTTTGTTTTCAATCTAGCCAATAATATACATATTCATTGGTTTACTTTAGAAACAACCATTTATATAGAGCATAAAAATTGCAACTACTGACAGACTTATGAAAGTTACTTTATTTTTATTTGATGTTTTAATGCTTCACTGTATTATAATGAAAGTCAGGTTTTATTATTTTATGGTATTTAATACCAAAGTTTAGGTCAGAGATACAGCAAAATATTGAGAACATTTTGCAAGAACATATACTATTACTTTAAGTTTACTATATGTCACTTATGATAAGGTGGTGAAACAGAAATCAATCTACAAGTAGAAGTTATGTTTTTCAACTTATATGTGTGTACAGAAATAACACTAAAACATACAATATACACTCAAATCATGCTTTTCTTCACATAGTACCAACAAAAATAAGTTTGTTTATAATTTTACCTAAACACACATTTCAATAAAGTATGTTAACATGATACAAAGTGATCGATACTCTATACAAATCACAATTAAGTCACTACTAAAAGGTTCAAGGAATTTCACAAACAGCCTATATCTGTTTATTAATTCTTAAAATGTTTTAAATTCTTTACAAGACTTAAATTGAAGTGCCTCAGAGGATGCAACCATCCTTAATACTTAAAGAATCTCCTACCCAGTAGTTTCTGTAACAATATATGTACAATTTAAGATCTAAAACTTCTGGAAGTCTAATGGCATAATCCTTGTTCTAAGGATTTTATTTAAAGTTCTCATATATTTAAACAAAGTTTATATAATGATGTTCCATGAAGCATTAATTAGTTAGAGATGAGTTAAAGTTAGATAGTTGAGTTGTTGTAAGAGTGATTTTTCAACATTGAATCTGTGTTAACTATTGCACCACTTTTTAAGAAAAAGTTGATGTTTACATTGTGTAGTACAGCTAGAATGATTGAAAAATTAGCCATACAAGTTACAACAGTGTTTGAGTTTTCAGCTACATTAAAAAAAGAAATAAATTATTTTAAGTGGACTGGACAATGAATTATTTTTCACCCGATAATTTGAAAGGACCCATAAAGAAAAGAACCACATCACAACATTTGGTGTCAGAAGCAGGAATATTGGGTGAATGTACAAACAGAAGTACAATAAGATTCTGACTAAATTTAAACTGTTGAAGATGGTGACCATGAGGTCAAATAGTGAGATTCAAGCATCGTAACAGGAACTTAAGAGAGGAGTTAAAAGAAAGAGGCAAGCTATTTAAGGAAAAATAAAAACACCTCTGATTGAAGAGAAAAACTAATAAGACTATCGGATATGTAGAAAGAGGGATTACAACATTAAAACTGAAAAAGTATGGAAAAGCTATAATAATAAAATTAAAATAGTACAGCGAGGCTGTAATGACAAAATTAATAAAGTCAAAAATGAAATAGTCATCAATGAGGTAGGAAGGAACATCAGAAAAACAAATTATTAAAAGGAAAGAGTAAACTAGCCACATCTCTTTCAGCATTTGCTCAAGAGTTCCAATCAACACCATTTACTACCAGATATTGTATAGGAGAACTTATTTGGCCTATACCTATTACCACTACTGTGGTACTACCTGTAACCAAAAGGCATTCCTGGACTACTCTGACCATGATATTGCCAGAAAAGTTCCAGTTTTAAGTTGTCCAATTCTACATCAGCCAATCAAGAAACCAAAATACTATGATGAGAAGGTACCATGGAAGTCATACTAGACTCAGTTTGAAATAATGTCTGGAGTGAACAGGTAGAATAGTGAACAATAAGCCATCCACCTTGCTGCCTATCTAAAAGGACCAGCTTTGACAGCATTTAGAGCCATAACAACTAATAGAAATTGGTAGTCACCTTGTCCAACAGGATTGAATTGAAGTGTTGCACTAGAAAGAAGTTGAGAGCAAAATTCCAAAACAGGATGCAAGAGGAAAAAGAGACTTTAGCTGAACAAACTGGCAGAAGATTTGAAAGGGCTTATCCAGGTATCCTACACAGATGGTCCAGATGAAATAATAGACTTCTTGGTATGTGATCAATTTATAGATGCCATATCAGACTGAAGCAGAGTAGGTGAACATCTCTAAAAGAAGTTCTGAAGTTGCCAATGAAACTGGAATCCATCAAAGTTGCAGATAAAATACTAATGAGGCCACCCAGAAGTTATGAGAATATTAAATCCTGTAGTACTAAAACATTAATTTCCCTCTAAGAATAGTCTAGAAGAACCAAAGGGATTGGTTAGACAGAATGGAGAGAATAAACCATGAGATGATAGATGTTTCAAGTGTAACTTGAAGGGAAATATGGCCAGGAACTGCAGACAAAGGCCTGTTTCAAATAAGAGCTCTTCTCAAAGGATACCAGAAAGAAGTAACTGTTACAGTTGTATGAAATATGGCTATTACATACAATAAGTAATCAACAACTGCCACAAATGAGAAAAGGTGTACACTATTTCAGGAAAATTGTCCACAAGTTTACTGGTGGAAAATCTTGTGGAATGCTATTTGACAATGGTTCCAAAGCTACAATTGCTTGATAAGATTTGCTACTGAAAAGTGAGAAGTTCCTTCCATAGATGAAAAAAGATCAATGCTAACAGTGGGTGGAAATAAAGTCCAGCAAAAGGGAAGTACAAAGCTTCTCTGTGCCTTATGATGTGTGGCTAACTGATACTGAAAAGGAGTGCATGTTGGAAACCAAGTTCATGCAAAAACATGGATGAGAGACTAGGCTAGCTTGAAATAGCTTCACAGCTGATGACAAGGAAATCCATATATGCTACATGGTAATTACTAAAGCAGAGAATCAACTTCCAGTGGAAGCAGGGATAGTGGTTATTGCATTACCAAATGTAGATCAGGAGTTATTAGCAATAATTCATCTAGTGTTGGGGCATAGTGGAACCAAACACTTTGGCAAGTTGTGAGGGCTCGATGTTTGGAATAATTTTGGATGTGAAGAATAAATATGCATAAGATATCACACGAAAAACAAAAAGACTTAAATCAACTGGTAATAAAATGAAAAATAGCTATGGTATGAAAGTTGATAAAACTAGATACCATCGAAGTGATGTGGTATAGCTGAATAGTTAAGTAAGTTTTTTAATAAGAAACAATCCGAACCAAAGGCTGTCCATCACGATCATCCTGGGAAGTACATCAGTGAGAAAGCAGCCAAGTGGTTAACTCTACAGAACTTGTCAATGGAAACTGGGCTTATTGAAGAGCCTGGAGCTCCTGGCAAGACTGCTTTCAAAAGATTATCAGTAGATTCACCTGACCACCTACTTATGAAGAGCTTCCCCCAACAACTGGACAGCCAGTAGTAACAAGGTACAAGATGCCATCCCATCTGTGTACCATAAACCTCAAAAGAGAAAACAATTAAAAAGGCTTAGTGAAAGGACACTTTAGTGTAGCATTTTATTTATTTTTTACTTTTTATACTAGAATTGTTAATGGTACATCCAAATCCAGGAAGAGAGCAGTGCTGAATTTTATGTTGTATAGCAGGCAGAGTAGCTGAAAACTTACCCCTACAAGTTATAACAGTGTTTGAGCTTGCAATAAGATTAAAAGAAGAAATAAATTAATCTGTTTTCATTCAAGTGGACTGGAATTTGACTTATTTTTCACCTAATAAGTTGCAAAAAATCTGCAAAAAAAAGGAACCACAACGATACATTATTCATGTAGTTTCCACAATATGGTATGCCAAGTTCATGTCATTTTAAATTATTGTAAAATTAATTCATAGCAATCTAATAACCAAATATGAGAAGGTGACCATGACAATTTTTTTTCATTATACACAATTTTTGTTTTCATCATAATACTACCACACTCATTATTTGTAATTGCAAGCCTTATAATGTAATAATCTAATATGCTTTGATAAACTTAATATTAATAATAGGAGTAAACAGTCTAAGGCCCTAACAAACTGCATATTCCAACTTAAAACTCATAGGGGACCTAAAAAAAAAACTTATAATGTATGCAATTAAAATAACTTATAAAGTTTAAGCATCAAACAAGTAAAATGTTATTATTAATACATACTGTAATTTATATATTAGAGCTTTCATATGAACAACAATACACTACTAGTACTGGATCCAAAACTGAAAACAAAGGTATACATATATGATATAAACTAATTGGAATTATTCAATTATAAAAATAGTGTACATTCCAATATAGCTATTTCTTAAACATATCTAACAATTTTTAAAAGCTTCCATACCCAATCTTTGCAATTTATACAATTTTAACAGTTAACTAACAAACTTGTATTACTATTAGTTGTAAGCTCAAGCAAACCGATCAAAAGCTTACCCGATTTAACTTATGTTCTAACTCATAATTTTTATCCTGACAGAATTACCGTTCATTACGGTTTAATAACATTTGTGCTCTTATTTTATGCCTTAATGTGAAAAATGTTCAAATTTTAGGCAAGTTTTAATGAACATATATAATGGGCATTAAAATTAAATAAGATCATCGGGGTATATTTATTTGTTACGTCTTCAAAGATATCTTACACAAAATAAATTTAATTTTTTGCCGTAAAAAATAAAATTGATTAATGAAGTACACGATATGAAAACAATTAACAATGTCCATAAAAAAAATTATAAAATAATCCAAACCTATGTTTTATAATCTGAGCAAAATTCTTTGAAACTTTCTTTTCTGTTGTTTGATGTCTGTTGAGTCACTTGGCCATCTCAGTTAACGCCAATAACGGTAAGGAATAAAAATTCTCGTTGAAGTAGATTTAAATATAGTTATTCCATAATTGATACTTAGCTGGAGAATGGGAAACAACTGATTATCTAACTGAAAGAAACAGTAATGGTAAAACACTGACTCCGAGATAAATAAGGATATTGCGGTATTAATGATCAATACAGTATATCACAGAAAGACAATTACCATTATTAATATTAGTAAAACAGCCAGGGAACGACAAGTATTGTTCAAGAATCTTCATCACAGCAAGAGTTTAAGTAATGTGTAAAAGCGGGATGAACACTAATACCAAGACGGGGTAACTTTAATAACCCTAAATGCGATATGTCGTATGTCATTTCATTACCCTATGTCTCTTCTACAATAATATGACAAAATAATTTACAAATTTATTATAATTCGTTTTCATTTCAATATCATATAAAAAAAAACCTCTCAGGATCAGCATAGACGAGCAGTTATTTAAGTTTCAACACTAAATACTACATGTTATATGTCTTTCGAGTATTCCAATCATCTTTTACAATACAAAAAACAAAAATAAAGTATTGTTACGTCTCTGGTCGTTAGTTAATTTTCCGTAAAAATTCTTTCCGAAGAAACTTTAGCGATACAAGTCCTTTTTTAAATAAAACTGGTTTATTCTTTCTGAATACAACTTTGCAATACACTTAATTTCCACAGTCACGCTATAATTCACAACGAACGACTCACGTGCTCGACTCAATTGTCAGTTTCTATCTCTGTTTGCAGTTCAATTACATTGTTGCCGTCACTTCTTGGCGGTCTTATATACAAGAATACCGTACATCTAGTAAACACTCGAGGCTTCCCGAAGGGGCATGATTTTTCTAGAAGTTTATGACGTGTTACTAGCGTCACGTGACTTCCGCTGTCGTAACAGTATCATCTCCAACTCCACTATCGCTTTTTTTGTTGTTTTTTTCTGCAATATGTAAAAACCAAAAACTCTGTAGGTCAACAGAGCAACTAATTAATACTGAGTGATTGGCACATTTCATATTTCATTCGATTAGGACAGTCTTACACTATTGTGATGTTTTATTGAAGTGCATTAAAATTTAAATAAGAGGTACGGATGTATATATTCACTACGTCATCAAAAATATCTTATACAAAAACACATTACATTTTTTTTATCTAACTAAATCAACGTGCAGTAAAAATGAAATGATTAAATAATGTACATGATTAGAAAACATTATTGTCTACATGCCCCATGTGACCCAGGGGTAAGTCTGAAGTCTTGTAACTGTCTTTAGACATGGGTTTTGACACCTGCGGTGGGAAAAGTGAGAACAGATAGCCCAAAGTGTAGGTTTGTGGTTAAAAATAAACTAAAAACAATGTCCAGAAAATATTCCAAACCTATGTGTTTTATAACTTGAGCAAAATTACTTGAAACTTATTTCTTTTCTGTTGTTTGATATCTGTTGAACCAATTAGTTATTCAATGACTTCTAAGGATAAGAGGAAGTCCTTTCAGATGTAATTTACGGTTTCATGATCCCTTGTTGCTGCAATGATCCCAGGGTCTTCAACGTACTGCCCGTAATTTTGTTCGGGCAGTCTGACGTCAGCAGTGGCATCAGGCCTGTAACAAACTTGTTCATTCCTCTTCTTCCTCGCAATTCTGGAACCGTTTCAAACTCTTCACTGGTCAACGATGCTCTCCCTCCTATCCTATACTTGTTGATGGTGGTGCACCTTCTACATCTTTGGACAAGGCCAATCTTTTTGCTGATTTTCATGAACAGAACTTTCAAGTACCGGAATGTCATATTCTTGATTATAGTGACACTACAACCACCGTTAACTCAACCGTTGCCTCCCTCGTGGACCTTACTCTTAGTTCTTCTTATGTTGTTGACAATGATTTCTTACATGTTCCCATTACTGCAGCTGATGTCTGAAGAACAGACGTAACACTGCCCCTGGTCCTGATGGCATCACATACTGCCAAGTCTGTCATGCCCCTTTGCAATTCCTTCAGCTTCTTGCATTGTTCTACACCTTTCTTCTTTCCTAAGAATTTTTTCCTGATTCCTGGAGGTTATCCACTATCCTGCTTTTTCTGAAACCGGGTAAACCTGCCTCTGATGTTAATTCTTATCATCCTATTAGCCTCACTAGTGTTTTCAGTAAAACCTTTGAACGCATCCTTGTTGCCCGTCTTCATCAATACATAGCTTCTCACAACCTCCTGCCTCATACACGGGCGGGATTTCGCCCACACCTTTCTACTTTGGATCAACTTCTCAAAGTGTATGACTCACTTTCCAATCATTTCAACACTCGAAGACCCTCCTGCATGCTCCTATTTGATTTCCGGCGTGCTTTTGACTCAGTTTGGCATCAAGATTTACTCCATAAACTGTATATGTTACACTTTCCTATTCCCTATATTCGTCTTATCTCCTCTTTTCTACGCAGGCGGCGCGCCGCTATATCGATTGATGGGATTCTCTCTCGCACTTTCACACTAC